GTAACATTTACCCTCATTTTCCCTTCTGAAAGCAAACAGAAGATGCATTTAAAAATGACTATTCTAATTCTTTGTGGCATCAGGGAAGTAAGCTGTTAGTCTTTCATGTGCAGGTCTTTTTTTGAAGGTCAAAAATAATAGGCAAAAAAAGCCCTGCTAAATTCTTTTTTAAAGAGATCTGGAAAAATATATCCATCTAGAAAATGATGAAAGTTCAGCTACTGTTTTAAAAGGCACAGGCAATCAGCTCTGCCAGAATATCTACCAATATATTACACCACCAATATCAATCCTTACAGCTTGCGTAAGAAACAAAGTAATCGGAAACAAGGATGACTGGTAGTTAAAGGGATGGGAGGAATTGAGTCAGAGGATCTGTTCAAGGCACCTGCTATAGATATGTACTTTAGTCAYGGTAACAGCAATAGCTTCTCAACTTAAGGTACAGTGGCATAGTGCGGGTATCCAGATCAGATGCCATCCAGCATTTTGAATGCTTTTGCAACCAGGGAAAAGAAGGGGGTTGATGCTTATGTCAAATGTGTTTAGGATGCAGTTTTTGCATAGTTCTGAGAGCCTGTCTTTTAGCACTGATGAACACCCAAATGACTCTCACTACAGTCAGAGAAGATCTCCTAAGAAGTCTTCAGCCAGCTAGGAAAATCAAGCCCTAGAGTATGAGTTTACTAGGATATTGACTAGGACTAGGACACTAGGATTACTGACAAAGCAGACAAGACAGCCAGGCCCATCTTCAGCAAGCCAGGGCCACCCAGCTCTAAAGAGTCTTCCAAGTTAAGCAAACTTCATGTTTGCCAGGTTCTTGCTGAAGAGATGGGACAAAGTACCAGGTCTAATCTGTGTTTTAAAGAATATTCTTGCTTGGCAGGAGAGGAAGGAACCTAACAAAATTGTTTCCCTGGCCTCCAGAACTCTAGGAATTTCACTTGCTTATTAGCTAACGACAAATTCAGAGAAAGAACCACTGACAGAGAAGCCAGTCTAAGTCCCAATGTTAGGGAAATAAGTATCCAGAGTGGGGAAAAAAATAGCTGCAGCACTTTACAAGAATATGCCCCCATACATGGCCACAATGAGAGGAAAGAAAGGGAGTGGAGAAGGAGGAGTCAGTGAGTAAGAGAAAAAGCATTTATGGGACTTCACAAAGCTTTTTGTCACAGGCTGCGTGAAAGACATCATAAAATGTATTTGTGTTGTTCCATGACAATGTCACCACACCCTATACAAAAGGTGATAGCATCAAACTTCATCTGAGTCACCTAGACCAAAATAACTTGACAGCCAACGTTAATCAAACACTCGATGCTGCTCTTCAGTTCTACCAAAAGATAATGGAAAGAAGTACTGTAAACTTTCTAGGAAACAATCCTTTCAGTAGGACCTAGTAATCTTTTCTGACATATTTCAGTGGTTCTATTGCCCAGATACTTGTAAAGGCCTGGGAGAAAAAAAAAAAAAAAAAGGATTTTCTCACTTTGTGTGAAATGCTTGCACTCACTCTCGCAGTTGGAACCTTGTTCCTTGTAGTTCATAGTTTGGAAGGAGAGAGGGAGAGTTCAACAAACTTTATGAACAGTGTCATAAGAGCTATGCAAAATGCATTCCTCTCCTCTCATATGCCTTGTCTTTGCAATCAACGATAGGGAATCTTACAAAAAGTAAAAGCTTGCAAGGCATGGAGGCCAAAAAAAAAAAAAAAAAAGAGAGAGAAAAGAATAAAGAAGAAACAAGAAAAAAACTGAAAAGAATTTGCATTACAAGAGAATCTTATTGCAGTATTAAAGTGATCTGACTGCCTTGAGCTTTAAAAGGGAAGCAGAGGCAGTTTCCATTACAAATCTTAGCAATCAATCATCTTCCTCTACCCCAGAACACCTCAGTGGCTTTTCTGTTCTGGTTATTCTCCTCGTCACGTAACAGAGCCGGCCACTGTGTCCCCAGTCCATTCTCCATCACTATATAGCATCTGATTTACCCAAGAAATAAGCATTCYTTAACTCCACCACTCCACCAATGTCCTAGACCAGCTGGAGGAAGGCAAGGGAGAATAGAGATAGAAAATCTTGTCTGACCTCTGTGAATCCTGTGGGCAAACAACTCAGTTTCCTGGAGGGTAGGCCTGGAGTATGTCATTTTTACTTTACATAACCACACACCAATTTAAGCAACCTATGTATATACTAAGGCTATTTTTAAAATGTCCCCAAGCTAACTACCCCTGTTCTACATTTCATCCCAGACTGGTTCCTTTACCTCCAAGCTTTTTTTAACCATTTGCGCAACTGCCCTGCAGATTTTGACAAAGGCTTTTGCCTTTTTTTTTTTTTTTTTTGCTATGCTCCCAGAATAGATTTAAGATCAACTTATTTTCTCTCAGGTAAATAAAGCTTACAGCAATGCTGTTCTTCASTGCTGCCCTTCCCTTACCCTCTCCCTCTGCTCTTGTTCTCCTCCAGAACACCCTGCCTCTGCGACACCACCTAGGAAGGACCCAAGATGTTGGTGCTACTGGCTGGTATCTTCGTGGTCCACATTGCCACTGTCATCATGCTCTTCGTCTCCACCATTGCAAATGTAAGTAGYGGCTACCTTGAATGAGACAGAGAGCTGTGGCAGTCTTCTACAGCAACAGACCTATATAACAGACCTATGGGCAGACAGACCTGCTGCTAGGTGCTCCTAACCACAGACTAGGAACACCCACTTACAACAAAGATTAAATAAAAGGCAGTGAGTTAAAGGCATGCTCACACAGCAGAAAAGAGCAGAACTGACCAGGACTTTGTACTGACCTGATCCAGGCTGCCTCCTTGGCAGCACAGGAGCCTCTGATCAGATGATCTGGTTTAGGGCTTCAGCTTCAGGAGTCTGCACGCGGACCCTGTGGTGGGGAAGGTCGAGGGTAAGCATCTGCAGCCCCCTTGGAAAGGTGGCCCCTGTTTGCCATTCCTATCCCATAAGAGCAGCACCTGAGCACTCCTTGCTCAAGAGAGAGATAAGCACACAAGATTAGCAGATGATAGTTTGGAGCTGATATTTATCACTCCATCTGGCAGTCAGTCTATTATATAATTATACGGTCTCCCATGCCTGCCTGCTTTGGTGATAATAGCTTGCTCGCAGGAGCTGTTCAGGCAGCCATGAATGCACCTCCCAATATTACATCTTCCCGTGACATACAAAACCCCACAGACAAAACGGACAGGCTGCGGAACGGCCACTACCAGTGCGGCACAAGGGGCATGGCCCCCAGCGCGCTCGTCCCGCGCCAGCAGCGAGCACCCCCTGGCCACCCCGGCCTCCGCCTTGGGGGGCACCGGCTGGGGGCCGTGGTGAGCCGGGTGTCACCCCACAGCATCGGGGCCCGCAGCCCGCCATAACCTGCGCTCTGTGAGGAGCGCGAGGAGGGCGCGGGCCGTGCCCGGGGCGAGGGGGACCCCTGGCGGCAGCGAGGGCCCCCCGGCCGCGGGGAGGGTGGCCGGGGACCGGCTTTGGGCCCCTCGGCGAGCGCCGCAGGGCCAGGTGCCTCTGGGGGCTCCCCGTCCTCGACACAGAAGGCGGTGCCGGGGCGCCCACCCGCTCTGCGTCCACCGCTTGGCCCTTCCCCCGCGTCCTGTATCTCCCGGCAGGAGGGGAGAGGATAGCTGCAGCAATGTTCATGTGTTACAGGAACAGATTTCCCCTTGTATTTTGTCTGGGCAAGGGAAACGCCGCTTGGCTTTCCAAGCCTTCYGTCATCTCCTTCCCACTTTGGATGTTTGTCTGTCGCTGACATATCCTGATTTCCTGCCTTCCCTCYTGTGGCACTTGAGCCACTGCTCCTCCGGTCGTGGGTTAATGTGACAGGAGGCCAAGGTGATCCTGGCCAGCAAACCAAAGAAGCACCCCTGCCATGACATAACAGTTTTATCCTCTTTCAGGTCTGGATGGTGGGTTATTATAACACACAAGAAGTCTCTTCAGGACTCTGGCTACGGTGCAACAAGAGCTGCACGCAACTGCTAGTGGCCTCCAGTGATGAAGGTAGGCTACATGTTCATTTTCACAATGGTGATGATTTGCAGGACATGGGTATGCAGTGCCAATGCTGAGTCCTGACCCTCTCCATTCTGTTCCCTCTCTGTGTTCATAGCTTCCCTCAAAACAGTACAAGCTTTTATGATCCTCTCAATCATCTTCTCCGTCATCGCGCTTGTCGTATTCATCGTCCAGCTGTTCACCCTGGAGAAAGGCAAACGCTTCTACATCACTGGAGCCGTCATGCTGGTTTGCTGTAAGTATGGACCCCTTKTGATGGCTCCGCTTGCTTCCCAATGCCTCCGTGAGCACAAGTAGTGGCACGTGTCAGCTACACATGGCCATGACGGGGAGGTCATCAGTCAGCTGAAAGTTTCCAGTGGCCCAATTTTTTTGATACAGCATTGGGGAACTGGAAAGTGATTTTTCTTATTTAAGTCGAACAATGAAAATATTTTCAGATCTTCTTTAGAAAACCCCAATGGACTTTGCAAAGTACTTTTGAAGGACAACAGAAGAGAAACACACAAGTCCTTCTTGGGAGGAAGGGTCAGGGGGAATAAGTTACATTGCTACTGCTCCTGGATTCAACATATAGTATTAAAATGCCTGCAGACAGTGTTACCAGTTCCCTCCTAACAATGGTTTATTCCCTGTGGCACCCACTAAACAAGTCCCAAGTGTCTCACGTCTTCATGTCTCCAAGAGAAATCCTCCAAAAATAAACCTAATGGGTAGCAGCCCATCTCTCAGGTGGTACAATACACGCAGTATGCTCTCAAGGGACACCAGTATTTCTGATGTCCTACAGCAATGTCGCTTTCTGTGTTTGCCAACCCTTTTTCTCTCCCTGCCTTCTTTCCTACAGGGCTGTGCATTCTGATYGGAGTCTCCATTTACACGGCTCGGTTCACAAAGTTGCCTGGGACCACACGAGTTCACCACGGCTACTGCTTCATATTGGCCTGGATCTGCTTTTGCTTCAGTTTCATCATTAGCATACTCTACCTTGTTCTTAGGAAAAAATAAGGCTGATGGGAGTGCAGGGGAGAGGGTTGGCTACTGGGGATGGGGAGTAATTGCTCTGCTGAGAGAATTGTTGGGCCTATCGAAAAACCAGAAACAGCCACCATCACAACCACTGCCACCACCACAGAAAAATAACTAACAAACCCCAAATCCGCTCAGAAACATATTCACCAACCTGAGGGAGAAGCAGCTGTGATTGATCAGTTATTCCTGGGGCTGTTGTGCCAGAAATCTGCARGTGACCCAGACAGCTGTGCTGCTTTTCTGCAAACATCATACCTTTACACTGCCAAGCTCAGCAGTGACAACTGAAGGGCACTACAAAAGTGAGGGCTCCATTTTTCTTTCCCTTCCTAGTGTCCTTCCTACTTACTTCTCTGTGTGCCTTGTGGGTTGGGCAACGAGGCTTGCAACCCCTTTCTTGTACATTGAAACAAATGGGATGGGCCTTTTGTTACATTTTTCTAAATATATATATATATATATATGCATATATATGAAAGTTAAAGGCATTGAATTGAGAATCAGCCCAAAGAAATCAGGTGAAACTGATGTTAAAAATATCAGAACTGAGGCAGATTTTTTTTGCTGTTCTGTTTTCTATTTGACATTCCCATGGTTGAATCAGATATAGGTAGGATGGACAGATATATAGACATGGGATACAGAAAAGGAGAAGGACAGAGAGAGAAAGGGAAGGGGCGCAAGGGTTCCTGATTACAGAGGACACACTTGCTCAATGATGCATAYGGGGGGAGTCATTTGGCTGTATGTCTGCACTAAAACCTCCTGATCAGCTCTCTAGCATGTCAACATGTAGCCAATATGTGCACATGCCAATATGTGCAATGTAGCACTGCTATATTGCATATTTTAGGTAGGTAGTACTTTTTTCACACCCTGGACATGGCATTAATTGATAGTCCCACCTTGTGGCACAGCTCATCTCAAAGGCAGATGTTACTGGTTAAGAGCAAACCTATTCCCTAATGAGAGAAATGGAGAGATAAGGCAGAACCTGAATTCTGTCCTGTGGTGCATGATCTTAGGCCAGTCAATTAACTTGGTGCTTTTACATCTGCCAAATTTTTCCATAAAGCTGTACCTACCTCCCCAAGGTTGCTGAGAGATTTTTATGTCCCCTCTGTAAGATAAAATCCCATGTGAAAGACTGCATGGGAAAGTTAAGCCCTACTATTCCTGCAATCCACATGTTTCTGCCACTCTGAAGAATCTCAATTGCAAATGGAATTTGTAAGGGATAAGAGGTCAAAATTTCCTGCGACTCTAACCACAACTAAAAGGCAGAGAACATCAAAAAAACATGGGTGCAGATTGTGCATGAATGTTATTCTCTCMCTCTCTTTCCCTCTCTCTTTCTCTGTTACATTCTCCTCCTATATAGACTGTCAGTTTGGTGGGTATATTCTAGTACTGTATGTTGCTGTTTCATTAACAAAGGTTTTTTCGTATGCAGTCATTGTAAATATTTTGAAATGCGTATTTTTAACTTTGAGGGTATAAAAATACAATCTGATTCCCTTTATTATAAAGAGTTCTGCTTTTGCATTTTTTTTCCATTAGTGTTTCAGAATGTTTGTTCAGAAGTGTTTCATGTTTGTTAACAGAAACACTTGAGTTCTGTCGAATCAAAGCTCAGTCTCTTAGGATGATACAGAACTATCATGTTCTGCTGGCATGCCAGCATATGAGATTTCCCATTTGGAAGGGAGAACCAAGCAGAACAACTCTGAGCTCCTGTTTCAGGTTCTTTGAAAGCTCAGGCAAACACTATGGCCTTAGTAACAGTAAGTCCCAGAGCCAAGCTTTGCTTTATGTCCAAGAGACCTGGAAATGTACTTCACTGTTCGGACTGACACTCTGGCAGAACTTCCCATCTGTGGAACCTGGCACATAAGAACCTGCAGTATTTATGTACTAGGTCAACCCTGAGCACAGCAAGTCCTAAAGTGAAAGGACTTGCCAAGTCCTTTGTGAAATTGCCAAGATGTCTGTCTCAGTTACTTGACTTAGTTAAGCCCCTTCCTCCTTAGATCCGCCTTAGAGAATCACATGGCATCACCTCAATGGTTGAGGTTAGAAGGAACCTTTAGAGATCACCTAGTCTAACTCCCTGSTCCAGCAGGGACACCCAGAGCACATGGCACAGGGTGGCATGCAGGCAACTTTTGAAGATTCACAGATTCACAGAATATTTAAGGTTGGAAGGGACCTCTACAGATCATCTAGTCCAACCTTCCTGCTCAAGCAGGCACACCTA